AGTATAATGAACAGTTGCATACCAACAGATAAGAACATCTAGATAAAATGAAGAGATTCCTAGAAAGACATGAAACACTTAAACTAACTCAAAAAGAAAGAAAAGCTGAATAAAACCACACAAATATTAATAATTATTAAAACGTCTTATACTCCTGCCTTTCAACAAACAAGTCAGCCCAGATGGCTTCAGCATGAGACCTCTCCCACAGTTAAGGAACTAATCCAACCCTCTACAGGACAGGAGGGAGTATTTCACTTACTTTATAAGGCCAGTACTACCCTTTTGCCAAACCAAAGACATCACAAAACAACTGGAGATCAAGCCTCTTTATGAATATGGATCTCATCCTCCAAATACTATCAAATCAATCCAATAATAGGCAAAAGTATCATGATCAAGTAGGACTTATCCCAGGGATACAACATAAAATTGATTGACACAAATCTCTTAATATAATATGGTATATAAATTCAATGAAAATAAAAAAACTACATGATCACCTCAATAGATGCAGAAAAAAATTTGAGAAGGAATGTAACACTTTTCTCTTTTTTAAAAATAATTTTTAATTAATTAATTAATTAATTAACTTATTTGGTAAAGAGTCTTGCTATGATGCTCAGACTAAATAGTGATCCTCCTGTCTCAACTCTGCAGCACTGGAATTAAGGCATGCACCAACACACATGTTTTTGGGATGACACAGTGCACCTGGGGTCCCGGGACCAGCATGGCACGTGGTACTGGGGCTTGAACTCAGGTCCTTGCACTTGCCAGGCAGGCGCTTAGACCACTAAGCTATCTCGCCAGCCCTTTAACACTTTTTCATGATTTTAAGAAAACTCAACGAAGCAAAAAGAGGGGAATTTACTCAAACTGATACATGCATCTGCTATTTCTATTTGCTGATGACATGATTTAGCAGGAAGAAAATCCAGCCAGGTATAAAGAGTGACTCCCAGCACTTGCAAGGCTGAGGCAGGAGGAGCACTAGGAGTTTGAGGTCATCCTCAACTTCATAGCCAGACTCTGTCTCAAAAGACAAAAACAAACAAGCGAACATACTCCAACAATAACAATGACAACAACAACAACAATCCCAAGAAATTTATTAAAAAAAAAAAAAAAGCTAGGGGCCGGGGAGATGGGTCAGCAGAATAATCACTTCCCTGGCAAGCGCAAGGGTCTGAGTTCAATTTCCAGTTCTACCAAAACAAATAAACAAACAAACAAACAAAACTATTGCAACTATTACATGAGTTTATCAATGTCCGGGATACTGGATCAATAAAAATACCAACCATACTTTTTACACGCTAATAATAATCATTTTAGTCTGGGTGTTATAGCACACATCTGTAACCCAACACTTAAGAGGCTGAGGCAAGAGGATCACCTCAAGCTCAAGGACAGCCTGGGCTACACAGTGAACTCCAGATCAGTCTGAACTATACAACAAAACCCTGTCTTAAAAGGTCAAAGAAAAATAAACAACAAAAATATTCTAAAAATAAAACTAAGGCCGGCCAGATTGCACAGCAGATTGAAGTGCCTGCTTATGCACACAGGGACTAGGGTTTGATCCCTGGCATGCTGTGCCGGCCCTGCCCCTGGAAAACAGGAGGATCACTACAAGTCTGATCTGTGTAGTGAAACCCTGTAGACCCTGTAAGAAATACATTAAAAAAAAAATGAAACTAAGGGAATAATTTCATTTGCAATAGAGTCAAAAAAGAATAAAATATTTAAGTACAAGTATTACAAAGGAAGTTTAAGAAACATGTTGAAAACTACTAGCATTATGGAAAGAAATGAAACAAAATCTAAATAAACGAAAAGACATCCCATGTTCACGGATGGAAAGGCTTAAAATTATTTAGGACAGCAATACTCTCAATGGACATATACATTAAAAACTGATACTGATCCTAAAAAATCTATGGAAACACAAGAGACCCAGAACAAGTAGGTTTTGAAAACAATCTTGAAAAAGAAGTATAAAGTCGGAAAACTCATATTTCCCGTTTGAAAACTTAGCACAAAGCCACAATGATCAAAACAGTGTGGTCTTGGTATAAAGACAAATATACAAATAAAAAGAACAGAGTTCAAAAACGAAAACCAACCAAGCAAACAAACAAACAAAACCCTTGTGTAGTGATTTTCCACAAAGGTACCAAGACAGTTCAATGGGGATAATCTTTTTAACAAATGATACTGAACAGCTGGATTCCCACATGAAAATAATGAACCCAAAACCCTACCTCATACACTACATACCAGTCAACTGATCTAAGTCAGAATTATAAAACTCTTAGAAGAGAACAGGAGTAACTTTTCTTATATGACCTTGAGTCAGGCAACATTTCACACTGAACACTAAAGCACAAATAATGAAAGAGAAACCTGAGCTTCATGGACTTATGTAAAAAGATACACAGCCAAGAAGAGCACAGAACGGTGCTCAGTGTTATCAGTCAGTAGGGGACACAGGCCAAAACCACACTCAGAAACCACTTGACATGACAAGGATGGAACAATAAAAATACAGACTCTAGCAGTGCTTACAAGGATGAGAGACATGAGCACTCTCGCTCACTGCCCATAGGAATCCAAAATGGTACAAATCTTTTGGAAAAGTTCGGCAGTTACACCATACTAAGTAAGATAAGCTAGGCACAAAAGGTCATCCACTGTGTAATTCCATTTGTAGGAGATCTCCAGAATAGGTAAGTCCATAGCGACAGGGCAAGAGGTGCATTTGCCAGGGCATGAGATGACGAGAGTGAGTGTGGAGAGGGAATGACTGTGTGGACACACGCTTCTCCCAGGGAGGCTGTAGGTGCTTGAGTCAGACTGCATGGGAGTGTACAGCCTATGACTCTGCTCAGGAGCACTACACACTGGAGAGGAAGGATTTGCTTGGGTGGTGGACTGTATCTCAACACAGCTGTTCAAGGTGTGAGACGGGCACAGAGGGTGGCTAGGCTAAGCGGCTCTGTGTTCTCTAAGTACCCAAAAGGTGTTCCTCACAGCATAGTCTTGGTGCTTTCAGTAGCACTGAGCCCCTCAGGCTGGGTGTCCCCACGGCCTGTGGGTTGCTGGACAAGTTGCCACACTGGGCACATGGGTCTGCAGCAAGGATGAGCACCTGACCTCACTCACCTAGCATGGAGCCGACAAGCTGGTGGGGCCCAGCCTGGGACTTGGAGCACAGCGTGTTGAAATAGAGCCCAGAGCCCTCTCGGATGGGGCTGAGCATGGGAGGCGGTGTGTACGGGGAGCACTGGAACAAGCCCTTCAGGAGGTGGTCCACCAGCGGCAAGGGAGAGCGCAGGCAGCTCTCGTGGCCCCTGCCGGGACCAGGGTCTCCAAATGCAGAGGGTAGAGGAGGGATGAACAGGGCCCTAGGCTGAGGGCACTTCTTCCGCTTCCTGTGTTGGCTGCTATCCTTGTCATCTCTTTCTTCCTCATCCTTCTCTTGTCCCTGGAGAAGAAAAGGATTCAGAACCATAGGGGTCACCTGAGGCCCCCTGATGCAACGTTGTCTGCAGGGTAGTACAAATAGGGTAAAGGAAGACTGGCCATAGAGACAGAGAAACAGCACCTGTGTGGCCAGTGGGACCACACTCAAGCCCTGGTGCAGGAGGCTGAGCAGGCCCACAGTGGCACTGCCCGGCCAGGGCTAGGACAAACCCAAGTGGCCAGCCTGGTGCCATCTTGAGCCTGGAGCCTGGAGCATGCAGATCTAGCCACAGTGGCTCAGAGGACCAAGTGCAGACTGGAGGCCAGGCACAGAGTACTGGCAAATGAATGAAAATGAGACCACACAGGTCATGGTGGTGCCGATGGGACTTTCAGCCTCCTGCCCAGGGCCCCAATTCCAAGTCCAGCAAGAGCTTTCCCAAGTGGGATCCCCCAGGACTGAAGAGCCGAGCCCCTTGAGACCAGCTGCTCCCACTCAGTTTTCTCCTTGACCTCCAAGGTCAGCCTCCCTGCCAGTCCTATTGCTCCTCCTCCTCCTCCTCCTCTTCCCCGACTCCCTTCTGACAGCCCCTCCTCAGGGAAGCCCTGCCTGACTCCAGTGGGCTGGTCCCTGGACAGCCCAACACAGCCCTGCCAATCCGGGTCATCACTGTCTGGGGCCAGGTCTGTCTCCAGGTCTGTCTCCTGCACTGGACTGGAAGCTCCAGGATGTCATGGTTATAGCTGTGTCTCCTGCACTGCCCCACAGCAGGCTGACACAGGGATCCATGAATGCAGAATAACTGAATGAAGCTGAACACAAGCACTTGTAGAACTGGGACTTCCTGGGACATGTGGCTTTCCCCACAGCTCTAGCAACAGGGGAAAAGCATGGGAAGTAGCAGACAGGTGAACACCCACCGTGGCCATGTGCCCTGGGGTGCAGGGGCTAGAGCCACGGACATGGACACGGGTATCCCCAGAGGAGCCGTGGCTGTGTGCTCCAAGGGTTTCTTGGCTTCTGGGGAACTCTGCCCATCCCTGTCTAGCCTCAGAGCCTCTCTTGGTGGCTTGCAAGACTCTGTGGCCAACACCTGAACATGGAGAGACTCTTTTTTT